TCATTTTAAAATATAAGAAATCTAAAATATAATTAGAATAATTATCAAATTCCAACAAAATAAATAATTATTATATTTATAAAAAAATTATATTATTAAACCAAATATAAATTACTTCGTTAATGTACATAAATTAAATTATAAAAAAATTGAATTAAAAAATTACACAAAAAATGAGGAATTTCAAATAGTTAATTTGATATTAATATCAATATATTTTTGTCAAATTTATATGATATCTTCAAACATATATTTTATTCAAAAATAAAAGCATCATCGTTTTTTTAAAATCACATAAAGCCATATTAAAACATCGACTGAGATAAAAAATAAAATAAAATATTAAAATCACGATGTATCTCGTTGCATTGCGCGAGTACGCTTCTAGTATATATATATATGTATATATATATATATATATATATATGATTTTTTATTTGAGAATTTATAAAATTGTAATAACATTGAGAACGGTGCATCATGAAATATTTCACATGATTTTTTTTCCATCAATGGTTTGAATTTAATGTATTGATTAACATATGTTTGTTTCATATATGAACATTTTTTTTTTGTGTTTGTGAAGCGAAAAATACAACTAAATTTTTTTACATTATGAATCGAATACATATGAAATAAACACATTGTAGAATAAATATATGTTCATGAATACATTACATGTTATTTTTAGATGAGACAACACTCTTGACCAGATGAAAGGTTAGGATCACTTCTCTACTCTTCAAATACTTACCACTTCTCAAATGAGTCTATGCATACATACATATACACACACACACACACACACATACATAGAGGAGCGATCAAATGCAAACCACCAATTTGTAAAACCGTGTAAACCACCCTCATCCGTCGATTTCATTGTTTAATCTTATGAAATTTTTTCATGAAATTATTTAATCTTGTGAAATTGTTTCATATAATACTTTTTTTTTTTTTTGATAAAGTTGTTTCATATATGGTTATGTCATATAATATTTAATGAAATTTTAATGAAAATGTTTCATGTATTTCTCTAAAATTAAAATAATGAAGATGATAATATCCATGATTAACACCCTCCACAATAAAAATGATTAATCAACCTCTCATAATTACAAAAAAATAAACAAAACAAAAAATTATAATCGATTGAATAAGGTTTATACAAATAACGTGGTTTGCAAAGTAAACCTCATATATATATATATATATATATATATATATATATATATAATTTTTGATTAACATAACATCAATATCAACTCAATTGGTGAAGGTCATTTAATAATTATTTGATAATATATATAAAAATAGTGGTTGTTAAATGATAAGTGAGATAAAAAAAGAACCTTATCTTCATGTCCTAATTCAGGAAGAAAAATGCAATATAAGAATTGTTCAAAGATTTGATGAATTTTTTCAATTTTTTATTAAAATATTATTTTTCTAACAAGGACTTGCTTTTTGGCTCATCTCAGATTCCACATGTTTTGTCTCCACCAATTCAATTATAATAATAAAAAATTTATATTTAAGGAAATTAATTAAAATAATCATTTGGGTTTAACTTCTTTGTTATGTCCTTCCAATTTTTACAAAAATAGCCATAGGTCCGAGATATACAAGCTAAACGACCAAAATAAATTAAACTTTTGGCCTTTATCCGCAATATTAGGGTTGTAAACAAATCAAACGAACATGAACATATGCTTGTTCATGTTCGTCCATTTAACTTAACCGAACAAATGAACGAACATGAATGGTAAACGAGCGAAATCTTTTTGTTCGTGTTCGTTTATGTTCGTTCGTTAATATGCTAAATGAACGAACAAAAAGAACATGTCTAAACGAACATAAACGATGAAAAGATAAAAATTTCTAATGAGACAAAATGATGATAAAATTTAAATCTAAATAAATTCTAAAAAATTAAAACTTAAATCTTACCAAATGAACATGGCAAAGGTCAAAAATCTTACCCGTTAAGAGCAATGATAAAATTAAGAGTCTTACTCGGTAAGTGATGATCACGATTCTTACCCGGGTAAGCGCTTACCGCGTAAATTGTTGCATACGGTACCATTTTGATATACTACAATCTTACTCAGTAAAATAAATTAGAATGTTGACTCTTAATGGTAAATGCTTACCGGATAAGCATTTAAGTAAACAGTCCCTAAATGAGTGCTTGCAGTGAATATATTTTAGAGTAAATTACGATTTTTGTTTAAAATTGTGATTTTTCGTTCTTATAATTTGTAATTCATTATTATTTTCGTTTTTGAATTAATTTCTACTTTTAAGTATAAGGGATCAAACAGTAAAAAAATATAAACCACAAGGACCCAAAAAAATAATATATTTGCACCAACTAACTATCATAATATAAATTAAAAATTAATTAAAAAGTAGAGTTTTATCATATATGCATGCAATTAATATTAAGAATATGTTAATTTTTTATTTGTGTTAATGATTTTAAAAATATTAAACATTGGGTTCGTTTTGAAGGTATAAACGAAACATTTCTAATAGTGTAATAGGTAAAAGAAAATACGTATTTTAACTTAATTATTTAATTAGTATAACATAAAAATTGAAAAAGGAAGGGAAATAAACGTTAGGAATTTCCAACCACCATCTAGGGGTGCTAAAATACCCAACCCAACGCGAAATAACCTAACCCAAAGTAAGTCGATGTCTAATCGAGTTGTAAAATTTTCAGACCGTATGTATTTGGAATTGAGTTATAGTCATTTGAACCCAACCCACACCGATGCAGCCGATATCATTTTATTACTTGGATTTAATATGATTGTTAAGTTTCCATTAATATATGCGTTAGAAAATCATACCATCGCATACTTATAAGAAGTATGGATAAGATATAACAAAAATTGAAGATGAAAAATATATATGAATAGAGAATACAACATATTCATGGTAACAAGAATATTTTGATGTACTAAATTATCAGTCCGACTAGCCCGACCAACATGTATAGTTTGGGTTGGGTTGGGTAAAAAAATTTCAAGCTGCAAACATTAAGTTGGATTATTGAAATGCCTTCAACCTGTTAAAACCCAACCTATGAGCACCCCACCTTCCTCAACTTTGGCATCATGGAACGGCTTATTTCTTACTTTTTCATTTAAACTCCCTAAAGATTTTAATGTTTATGGTTTCAACCCAATTTTTTTTTTTTTTTTTTTTTTTTTTTTTTTTTTTGTAGTTTCACCCCAAAAAACTTATGGTTTCACCGACAGCCATACCCCAAAGGATAGGTCCCTCCCTAGAACTGAATCATAAGGACAAAAATAACTCTCAATTACAAACATAGGGACGGAAATCATCATTTTTAACAAACCACAAGACGAAAAGAGTAATGGGGCTGTTTATCAAATATTTACCTGGTAAGTGCTCACCGATAAAATTTAACATTATTATGTACTTAATGGGTAAGATTTTAGTCTACTTGATTGGTTTGAGCTTGACTTCAAAGGTCAAAAGTATCAGAATATCAGAGGTCAAAAGTATCAGAATATCAGAATATCTCAGATTCAAATTCAAGGAGGAATATCTCAGATTCAAATCCAAGAAGGAATAAAAATCCTCTTATGACCACAGAGGTTCAAATACAATGACTTTGTGCTATCTACAAAGCAGACGGTCGTTTTAGCGATGGAAATGCAACGTTGTTTAAGAAGAAACGGTAAAGAGGATGTATGTGGGAATCGGCGCCAAATGTGGATCGGATGAGAAATTACAGTTATGGAAGCTCAGAAAACCATGGCAACTTCTCCGCTCCAACACAACTTCCCCTCCATCAAAAAAATCAAACAGACAACAAACAAACAAACAAACTAGGTTTCATTCTTCTCTATTGCTAACAAATTAAGAATAACGAACAACGATCCATAATGGGGAGTGATTAGATTAGTTTTTCGCTTCTGCAAAAAAACCAATAACTTGAAAATACCAAAAACAAAATCAATAATGGCGCAGGCACACCCAGATGAAAAATTGCAGGAAAAACTCGAGAAAGAGACCATCACCACGACGGCTAAGAGGGATGAAAAGAGGGAAATTTCGTCTTTTAAATTCAATGCACAAGCGCCCGAATTCGTGCCCAGTTCACGTACCCAGTCACCGGTTTCGGGTTATTTTTACCCGTATTTCAATTATCTTGGTATGGGTGGGAACGATGGAAGTGGGTCGGGTGATTGGATTTATGCTGGTGCTGGTGATCAAGATCAGCAAATGCATCTTTTTACGAACCCTAATGTTTTGATCCCCAACTATTCGAAGAATGTCCTCACTGACGATCTTCAGCAAAAAATCATCAAACAGGTCTTTCTTTTGCTTCTTTTGGTGTTTCATAATCCATGTTATATTTGGTTTCTACCAAATCTACCATGAATCCATGCTTTTAGTATTATATTTGAAGTATACCATGGGCAATGTGTTGGTCCTTTTAAACATACACGTAATTCATGTCTGTAACAGGTGGAATATCAGTTCAGTGGCCTGAGCCTGCTTGCAAATGAGTCCCTGGTTAAACACATTAGCAAGGATCCAGAAGGCTATGGTGAGATCACCCAAACCCTTTACAATTTACAGCACCAATGTTTCCGCAATTTCGTTACAAACCCATTTAATTATTGCTTCAGTTCCAATATCTGTTATTGCATCTATGAAGAAAATCAAATCCTGCATCACTAATAACCATTTGCTTGCCCAAGCTCTCCGTTCGTCTTCAAAGTTGGTTAGTTGGTTCTTTAAAGACCTTGTCAGTTTTCAAGAACCGATATTTGAGATTGGTTCTTAACGTCTAATTGATTATAATACTTCAATCCTCTCGTAGGTTGTAAGCAATGACGGCAAAAAGGTTAGGCGTAAACACCCCTTCACAGAGAAAGATAAAGAAGAATTGCAGGTTAATTAACTTGTATACCTGTTGGATGTTTTGCAAGTTTTCAGAAACTTCAATTTGATGGTTGATTTGCTGTGCAGTCCCGCACTGTTGTTGGTGAGAATCTTCCCGAAGATCATTCTCATCAAAACCTTGAGAAAATCTTTAGTGTCGTTGGAAGGTAAAGTTTCAAACTTCATTATCAAGATTCATCTTTTTGGCAACTGAAATATATCGATCAACGGTTAATTCTGATCAACTGTTAACCAGTGTTAAAGCCATTCGCATATGCCATCCCCCAGAGCCAAACTCGTCACATTCGAAAGGGGATTATGTTTTTAGTAATAAGGTATCAATTCATGGTTTCATTCTTTGGTTCATCACCGTGAATCCGTGATCATGGTCTTTAATCTTATGTTCATGGTCTTCTGGTTTTGTTTTGAAGCTCCATGCTCTAGTGGAGTACGAAACTACCGAAATAGCTGAGAAAGCAGTATGTTTCCATTGTTAAACTCTTGGAATTGAAGTTTTGAGATTTTGCTTCCGAAATCATTGAATAAGATTGGTTTCAGGTTGACAAATTAAACGACGAAAGAAACTGGAGAAAAGGGTTTCGTGTTAGGTTGCTGATTCGACGTTCAGTACGTGACGAATTTGTATTTTTATTTATTTATTGGAAGGATTGATGACACGATTGAGTGTTTCTAATGATCATGAAACTTGTGTAATTCAAACATCCAGCCAAAGTCTGTTTTGAAGACCAGAAAATCAGATTTTGAAGGATTTCTTGATGATGATGATGATGCATTCGACTTATCTGAAGAGTCTTCTCAGCCTAGTAGTGCAGAAACAGTTGTTGACAATAACGTGAGTGCATAACTTTGATTTGCCTTTGAACTTGTCACTGTTTAGACAGATTGGTGCTACCTCTGTGTGGGATTTTACTGGGTGTGTGGGATGAATTGGGTAGGTTCAGTTTGGTTTTAATACTGATGATGATATATTCTTGGCAATGCAGGGTGAGGAGAATTCAAAGAAAGGATGGGCGGCACGAGGGCGTGGGAAATCAAAGTCACGGACACCGAGTCACAGCAGTCGTGGACTTCTTTCGCCATCTCCACAAACGAGCAGCTCGGTGGTGCATTTGGAAGCATCCTCAACCAAACAGAGTGCTAAAGGGCCAAGAATGCCAGATGGAACAAGGGGTTTTACAATGGGAAGAGGGAAGCCGATTGCTTCGAATCCTCCGATTCTAACCGGCATACCGTAAGGTTTCGATGATCAAATTTTGTCAGTTTTTAGTTCTATTATAACACTAGAAGCCAAGCTAGTTCCTCAAACACCATTTCAAGCATCAATCCAGGACCAGGAGTGTTCAGTTTTTTGTTGATTTTTTGTAATAATTTGTCATATTAAAGTTTGTTTTTTTGCCTACATTGATTCTTGAAATTTGAACTCCATGAATAAATTTTTGTTAAAGAGTTGCGATCTTTGTAGCTAGAGATGCACAAAAACAAGCTTAACCCGGTCCTTCAACCGAAGTCCGTAACTAAATAGGACCGCAAGCCTTATGCGGTCTTTATTGGGGCCTAGTATATCTGTTTTTCTTTCATTCTCACACTTTTCATTAGTTAAGGGCCTTCACGATAACATTCACTCTATTATTTATGATAAAGGTACAGTCTGTGTACATTTTACCTCCTCTATGCTAGGGGGAAGAGGGGGTGGGCTCCACCTCTAAGATCTATGATTTAGTATCACATGTGATGGATTATAAAATTCCATCAGAGACACCCATGTGATAAGGCCTGGTGTGCAAGTGACTTAACCTGCAACCAGAGCCCCTCCAAAGATCGTTTATGTCTCTGATTTAGTATCACATGTGATTGACTATAGTAAAAGAGAGTTATCGTGTTTTCGTAAAAAGAAAGTGTTCTCGTTGGAACTCTTCCTGGATTAGAGAGAGAGTCATGTTCAATACGAGAACAAGAACCAAATAAGAGAATAAGAAAACGATAAGATCACATGTGATTTTATGATTTTATATTAAAATCACATGTGATTTATGCGACTTTGACTGCGACCTGAGGTTGTAGCCATGTCACCCACACATCCTTGTTTAACCATTAGTGTAAACCCACATGATTTTGCACATAATTTAGTTGTTTTCATATTTTCTTATTTTGTTATTGTACTCGTTTGAGCCTCTTTTTATACATACATACATACATACATACATACATATACATACACACACACACACATATATATATATATATATATATATATATATATATATATATACTTGGGATTATGTGAGACCAAGGGTTTTTCGTGAGACCCGTAAGACCAATTCACAACCCTTGGATTAAATCTATAATCTGAACATTCATAATCACAAAATTGTCACGAGACTTCTCAATAATCACAAAATTGTCACAATGCAACTTTAGACCATTAGATCATTAGCTTATAATATTCATCAATGAACATAAATTGGGGTCTCACGAAAAACCTTTAGTCTCACGTGAACCCAAATATATATATATATATATATATATATATATATATATATATATATAGAGGGGAGCGATCAAATGAAAACCACTCCAATTTGTAAAAACCGTAAAAACTACTCTCATCCGTCGATTTCTTATGAAATTTTTTCATGAAATTGATTAATCTTGTGAAATTGTTTCATATACTACTTAATGAAATTGTTTCATATACTACTTAATGAAATTTTAATGAAACTGTTTCATGTATTTCTCAAAAATTAAAATAATGAAGATGATAATATCCATGATTAACACCCTCCACAATAAAAATGGTTAATCAACCTCTCATAATTACAAAAAAAGGAACAAAATGAAAAATTATGATTGGTTGAATGAGGTTTTCACGGTTTTTACAAATTGAGTGGTTTTTATTTGAACCCACCCCTATAGGAGCGATCAAATGAAAACCACTCCAATTTGTAAAAACCGTAAAAACTTGCTGGTTGAAGACAAATGCAACCTCAAAGTAGAAGAGCAGAGAGTGACTGATTAGCCATAACCTCAATCAAACAATTATCCTTTACTAAACAACAAGGAAACAAAAATCATTTATCCTGCCTGCCTGCCTTCCCTATACTAATAATGTAACAAAAATGTGTCTTTACTGCCACATATGCTTTCGCCTCCCGGTTTGCCACTGCATTTTCAACATCCACCCTCCAAAAACACCGACTTTGGCCTTAAAAGTGCTCATCGGACGGAATATGATTTAGATGATCTGTACCAATCAAAGAACTCAAAAATCAATAACTACCAAACAAAAAAGACCATCAACAGCATAAAGCTTCCAAAGAATGAAAACAGATTGATTCTTTATGTTATGTCATTTCACAGTTAGCAACAATGCCAAGATTTTGTTTCATTATATGACCGTTGGACTGAGATTTCAAATAACCATTATATAACGAAGGGAAAAAAGGAAGTCGGGCAGTAACATATGGATTTTATATGCTTATCCTTAAATTATAACAAGTTCTTCCAGAAAAACCTTCATATTCCTTGTTGGTTTGGTAAATAGGACCTGGATACTACTTGGGAACTAACATAGGCATCATGACAGTTGCAACCATTTGATAGTTGTCATCGAGTAAGGATACAATTTTTCAATTATGATGAGCACTCAAAACATTAAAATTGTACGTGCAATGAAAATTATCAACAATGAAACCTCAAACGAACATGCACATATGAGTCTAGGGAATGTGTGGGAATCATGAGGGTTGATGTTCAGGAGTCATGTCTCAATGAGGGTCCAAGAGAAAAGTAAAACTAGCGTATGCATGCCCATCTTCTACTTTGACTCGGTAATGATATCATATATTCCCTCCATCCCAGATTAAATGTCCACATTTCTGTTTTAGTTTGTCTCAAAATAAGTGTTCACTTCCAAAAGTAGAATCTGCTTTCCAATTCTACCCTTAATCATGAGATGGAGAAACTCATTACTCCCTCTGTTATTAAGGGTTAAATTGTCATTTAGTTGATTATAAAGTGTAGTAATTACACATTTCTAAAGTTAAGCGCCTTTTTTATCGTGGATATTTATTTTGGGTCGGAGGGAGCAACTAGAAGCAAAACTAACAAACATGTCATCAATTTTCACCAGGTGATACAAATAGAGCTAAGTTCAAATGGGAAATATTCTAAAACATTCACCACGTAAGTTCACACGATGAGTGCTTTTTAACCATTATTCAACCATATATCTTAATGGATAAAGTTTTACCTGTTCGAAATATTCGACACCATAAACTTACACCTTATGTCCAAGATCAGGTGTGCACATCCTTCCTAGGCATCCTGTACCATAAAAACAGAAACCACAGAGTCCTAAATAACCCTCCATTGGCAAAGTGTGGAATCAAAATGCGTCCCCAATATGGATAGTATGGGCCTGGCAATTTGATCAACGTGAAAAAAAGCATGTTGGCATACAAATGCCAAGGAACTTTTGCATCCTGTGAAAAGAGAAACGAAAACAGAGATTAGAATCAGAAGAAGATACAAAATCCAAAAGGCTTACTTTATTTTACAAGAAATATAGATCTTAGATTGTTTAAGACTTTATGACAGCATCTTATGGAAAATCCGAAAATTAATAAGCTTTTAATTCACCTTGAGAAATGGAGATAACTTCAAGGCTCTGCTTCTCAACAACCCAGCTACAGCAACACCGATAAGTAATGGGAGAGGGGTTATGAATAGCTTCCTTTCATGAGCACAATATGACATCTCACTAACAGAAGTAATTGCCATTACAGGTACATACAAGTATTGGGTGACTACCAATATAATGTCAATAATAAGTTGTGTAAAATTCTCCAAGGCTCTGGTCCAGGGAAAACTCTTGACTTCTTGCGGAGAATTATCCCACAATTTTCTTGCCTTATCTATTACAAGGTCAATATTTGACTTTCCATCTTTGTCTGGTTGTGCTGCATTCATATTCATTACAGACAAGATTTTTGAACAAGTTTTTCCATATGTTAAGCCTTTTGGTTTAGAACTTAACATATTAGATTGGCGTGACCAACCCTGTGCCATAACAAGATTTGTTAGTCTAAATGAATATGTGCAAGTAAACAAAATCTCAGCGAAGGGATATTAAGTAGCTCAAAATCACTGTTGACTACAGTGCAGAACAAATATAGGCATACTCTTTATCTATTTCAGAACATATGCTTGCTGGAAAGACAAACCAAAACAAAACCAGGATTTTCCTTGTCCAAGCATATTCTCAATCCTTTCCAAGACACGACCATCAAAGGTACAGATTGACTGCTAGATCAAACACACTAATTTTGACTTTAGCGTTCTTGTGACGTCATAATTGACAAGTATATGCTCTAAATTTCAAGAAAAATCAACAACTAGATTAAACTTCACAACTACTATAAAATGGAAAATATAAGAGGTTAAATTTGTAACAAAATGCTTTCAAATTTTAATTTGGTATGTCATAGGTTTGACGTCAAAATCATTCTGTATCTTGTTTAAAGAAACAAAAGGAATACTACTTTCTCCAAGCTCTTCTTTAGCAAATAACTTCAACAACAATAGCAATAATCAGAACCCCTTTTTGTAGCAAAAAGGAAATTCTATTGAAATGCTTCAAAATTAGTAGAAGAAACGCGAGCTTTAAGTACAAACTGATGCAACATCTGCAATCAAATGATGAGCAGAAACATGAACATTGATCTAACTTACAGTAGAACTGAATGGGAATAGATGCAGCATTAAAGAACTAGCGGAAGGAATATCTAAGGGTAGATGATTGAAAGAGACTGAAATATAGCAGAAAGGTAGAACTGAGCTGCATATTCAAAATAAAGTGATTTGTATTTTTTTTTTTTTTTTTGGCATATGCAGGGTCCTCGAAAGAAGGATGGTCATAAAGAAAAAAGAAGATAGGAGGTGAGTGTTGAGGGAAAGAAAAACAAGGGTAGAATCATGGGGAAAACCACTTAACTCTTATGAACCTAAGATTATTTGGCTTGGATCGTCTCATCTTCTGCCTCTTCTTTTTTATTTAGATGGAAGGGATTCTAGATTTTCTTTCATGTGTAGATTATGGAAAAGAGAAGACCAAAGAAGAGTTTGAGAATGGTCAGGCGATTTTGCATAAATTCGTCCTTGGTGGTGAGTTGGAGAGTTCATATCAAACTCTTTTCTCTCTTCCATTCCAAGTTTGAATTTCCCAGTTGTTGATGAAGTTTTGAATTTTGAATGAATAGTATGCTTGCACTGCTACTGCTATACTTTTCCTTCAGATTGGACTGATAAAGGCTGACCCACTTCAAACCAGGTATGGTTCCACTTCCACATATTTCATGGAGTAACACATCTACCTTGCCACCTACAGACGAAGAGAAAGATGAAAAGACCTATGAATGTGCTTTTTCCGTTTGGTTTGAAGTGAGTATACTCTTCCCCTGTGAAGGATTCATAGAAACCTTGCTTGAACGCAAACATATTTATGAAATCTTCGACGATTGGTTCAGAGGTTTCAGGTTACAAATGAGAGGCAGAATTGTGCATCTTATCCAACCAATATCAAGACTATTCATTGACTTAGTTGCCTAAGAACTCTGCATTGTTTCCCTTAAATTTTGAGCAGAGATCAATAAAGCTTTATTCGGTTGTACATTTAATCAAACTCTCATAGATCCCCATTGAATGAGTTTCGAGTGTTTGTTCGATTTCATTTTCATGTAACCATTTTGTTGCTCTTGCAATTGTTCTCTCTTGTGTGTCAAACAAAAGAGCCATCCACTTGGAGAGTGCTTGGAGAGAAAGTGTGCCCCTTAAGAACGTTTGGAGTTAAAGCATGCACCTGATGATTTATGGCTTGAACTATATGTTGGATTGTCTCTTTCGATGATGTCTGATTGTTTCTCTGTTATTATCATTGGGAAGAGACCACTCCTCATTTTACGGTAATGGCTGAACTTTGAAGCTATTTCAAGTTTATGAATTCGATATCTTTCAACCTAATGCATCACAGAGCTTGCATAAACCCAATTCTCTTTAAACGGTGGAATATGTTTTTTGAGTCTGCTTCTGTCCAGGGATGTTGCAAAAGTATAATGTGAATTCCTTCTTTGGTTTATGACTTCAGAATGGATAATCTGCATTTGTGGTTGCTTTTTAGCAAGGGTTTGTGGAGAAGACTGTCTCCATGGAGAGCAAGCCTTGACGATTCAACAATGGCTTTGGGTATTTCAATAACCAGAAAACTCAGAAACTAGCATCTAACCAATTATACCAATAATTCTGTTATTTCAATAGAAAAGCGAATTTGGAAAACCGGGTGACACAGGAAGGTAAAAGCTTTTCCATTGTACATGACCTTACAGAAATGAAATCCCTTCAAGCTCAGAATGTTAAGAAATTTGAATTCCACGTCAAACTAGATGCCTTTCAATTGGGAAATGTATGGCTTTTGTCACAAAATTGATTCCTGAACTTTTTTCCCTCTGAAACTTGAATTACAAACATTATGCATTGTACCAATATTTCTTAAAAGCTACACAGAAATCATGTCAATCTCGAAATTTAAACTTAATCCATTTCACTTCAGAAAAGTGAAACCGTAGTCCTTCTCTCAGAACAGAAGGAACATAGTGTTCTTTTACAAAACAAAAAAAAAAGCATTCAATATCGAAATGATAAAAAATTCTAGCTCAGACATTAAAGTAATACACCCACGGAATTCCAAAATGCACACTTAAACCCTAAATTTTTGTCAAACATAAATCATTTGAGATAAATCAGCAATTTCACGTCTCGAACGTACCTTGAACACCATTAGAGAAGGAGAAGTAAGCTTGAGAGGCATACGTGATGAATGTTGGAGGCAGGTGGATTGATTAAGGGAGACAAGGGTCGCCATTCCTTCGAGGGTTTTTCTTCTTGATCGTCTGTCTGGTTGAAGGATAAATGTAAAATCTTTGAGCTAATTTCACTTTAGTCCTCAAGGTTTTGAATAATCTTGTTTTTAGGTCCTTATGGTTTTTAGGTTGTTTCTTTTTTAAGTGTATTCGGTTTGTTGTCTGAAATCACCATCGGTATAAATTTGATAATCGAATAAAAATGAATATAAATATGTATACTTGGGGTTTTAGGCTCAACGTATCATGAAATTAAGAGAGAAGAGAAGCATTGTTGATGCTTTGATACGTCTTTAGAGTTTGAGAATCACATAACGGAATTCATGTCAATCTCCAATGAGTATCACCGCACGATAACCACAATGACCCTGGTACTTACTTGACCTCTAGATGAGTTTCACCACAAAATTCATTGTCCCTGTAAGCAGTTCCAATGAGAATAACTGCAAGACCTAGCGTTGTATATGACTCAATAGAGTACCACCACAAGCTACTAGCTCCGTATACGACCCAAAAAGGTAACACCACAAGCTCTCAAACCATGACTTGGTGACCACTCATTAGACTTAAGTGAGGGCTTCAAAACTCCACATTTAACAATAAGACATACTTCTATACCTATGGATCCAATGCATTACAATCTAAATTCTGTGATCCAACTAAACGACTAACACACTTAAAACATGTAACATCCAACAAAATATGCAATAAATGCAATTCACGTCCAAAGCTCCATACATAGCTATTTAAACCGAACAAATGTCACCAAAACTCATTTCAGTTAAAAATCAAGCCAATAGGCCTACAGATCACTTGACCATTTAAATAACATCAATGTAAACCACATCAGCCCAAAAGGCATATCTTCCAAATGTTTAAAAAACACATGGCACATATAACATTCCATAAATGTTCAAGAGTCAAAATAATATTTTTCTCTAAACTATCCAAATATCCAGAAAATCTCATTTGATGCAATAAATATCATTTGGTGTCTCATAACACCCAATAAACACCTTTAAGGATTTCATAACCCAAATACACTTAATGCACGCACTTACCAAAAGTGAAAAATAGACCCATAGGGGTGTGTTCAAAACCCAGAATTAAAATATTTTGACATGTATATAGTTTTGCAAAGCAACTAGAACTCACCTTGCTAGATTTATGCTAAAATAAGGTTTTCCAAACCAAGTCTTGAGCTTCATTTGAAGAAGACTTGAGATCTCCTTAAAAGCTTTCCAAAAATCAGTTCCAAAACCTAAGAGATCCAAAACATACGCCAAAGGGAAGACGATGAGAGGGGTGAAGAACAATCCAAAACCCTACTTTTTAAATGAAGATACGGGACCTTACCTTCAACTTCAAGAACTCATAAATCACCAAGAGATGCCTCAAATGGTCCAGAAAAGTGGACCACAAGGTTCACAAAAACCCAAGCTAGAGAGTTAATGGCGGAGGAGAAGAGTTGGGGGTGAAGAAATGAGAAGAAAACCCAAAAATCGGGGGTTTTAGGGCATGCAGGTGACTTATGCAACCTGACTTGCGACCAGTGTTGCATGGCAGGTTGCCCATATGCAGGTCATCAAAAACAGTAAGTTACTCGACCTTGTGCGGGTCGCCAGTCAAGTCAATAGAAGGGATTTTTCGTCCAAAACTCATGTTTTCTTCGCACTTTTTGACTTCCACGTACCCCATGCCAACTCATAAGCAACCTTTTTTATAAATGAGCAATTTAAAGCCACACACAACTACGAATAGGCTCCAAGTTAAGACCCCAAAATCATGAGTGTTACACTTGAATACTACATAAAATAGATGAGTTCCTAATTCTCAAAATATTTAAAGTTTCTTAAATAAACCTATTCAAAGTGATATATTTAATTATGTTTTGTGTTAATCGAGATATTTTAACTTGTATTGCAAGAATATTCGTGTCACTCTTTGAGAGAGAGAGTACATGGGTTTGTCGACTAATAGTTTTTACTAAAATCTAGAAAATTTATGTCTCGTTTGGTTTGCTGGATTCAACGGGATTTGGAATTGAGTTCGATTTCAATCTTGCGTCTAGTTTAAAGGAAATTCTAGAATTGAAATCCCCATGAACGTTGGATTTAGAAATCACATGACAATAATAAGATATTATTTATAATAATGTTTTAAAATATGCTAAGAACACTTTTCAACCATATGTCACAAGCAAGTTCAAATCATCATCGGTTTTTCTATTTAAACCTAACTTTTGTTGAAATCTTTAAGCATTTATGTTTGAAATAAGTTGTATGTATTTCAATATCACATAGTTCATAATTATGTTTTTCTCAAAATCATACAAAACAGTATTATAAAATCAACGGAGATAAATAACAATACAAAACATTAAAATCAAGATGTACCTTCCTTCGTTTCACAAATACATGACTTTTAATATCTTACTAGTTGTGTACCCGCGCAATGCGGCGGAAGCCGTGAATTTTAACGATTTTGAAGTTTCACTGGTTTTATTATAGAAGATTTAACGATGATATAAGTTACACTTGGTAATTACATTTTGAATAAATAAGAGTTATGGTTCCAATTATATTCTATCGATGATAAAATTGTGTGACAGTTTAAAATCCAACATATTTAAACGACTCCATTAATGTGTTTGATTTACACCAAGAGCAAAGAATCAAGAGATCGAGAGCGAGACCCAAGGTTCTAGAGCAATTGAATGTGAGATGAATGAAAGACCTTTTAATAACTCATGGTGAATATCAGTTTGAATCTCACCTTGGCCATTGGGGGATAAGGAGAAGACATAGAGGTATGAGAGGGTGAAGGCATAAGTGAAATGTGTCAAAAGTATATTGGGAACATGAAAAGAAAAGATAATAATATGCATTGGTAACTTGTACTATATGTTATTTTAATTGTGGATTAAGAGATTTTAAGACTGAATTCATAAAGTAGTAGTACTTAATGCATTATGAGTTGTTTTTAAGACCTTTAAGACTTTGTGCATAAATGTATAATACTTTGTGCATTAAAAATTGTTTTTAAGACTTTTGATAAATCTGGTTTATAAGATAGTATAGATATAGATAATGATTACCCATAAACAAAATAATAAATAATCACCCCAAAGTTCTAGCAATCTGTCTTTGCGTTAGCCTCATTCCTGACAGACGAACCTTCCAACAAGCAAAATAGAAGGTGAACAAGCAATTTAGTGGTTGTTTGCTCCTGAACGAAGCTATTGGCTTTTTCTCTAAATTTATACTCAGAACACCAAAATATATAAAATTATTCTTTTTTTTACCAATAATTACTAAAAAGAATATGATGTTTTTATTGTCTGGCCGGTCTTTCGACCAGATGCCCTTAAAAACCGTACACACGAGTCTCCCCGTATGCGGCTCACGCCATTCGAGGTGGCCCAGCCCAGCATTCATTCCTGTGTTCCAAATTCAAGGCTCAGGCAGCTCAAAAGCCTTATTCTTTAACGGGAGCTGATTTTAAAATAACAGTTATTCTAAAATAAAGAAATTGTTTTCATAAGACTATGAATAACCATATATTACATAAAAACAAGATGCAATTATTGCTACCAAACATTGATTCCTACATTTGAGCATAAAATATAACAGTATCGAATGAAACCTGAACTCAACTCATTTAATTTGCAAACCTAATCATCGTTAATCGATTTAAATTATCAGATTTGAACTTATTATCTGATATGTTTGAACTCAGACAAATTTTCGACCAACAGAATTTATATTTAATTGTTTTTTTTATATGTGTCCATAATAGATTATTGGTGATATGACTTGAGGACAAAATGGCCAATGACACATGGTTTGGTACCTCCAACCTACAAATTCTTTGTCCACATCTTTGTATTGTAGGTACCATAACACAACAAATATGTTATATTCAACATCTATTTCAAATAGTATTATTATATGACATTTGATGTAACATATAACTTAGAGTAAATGGTTGTTTACCAAACGCTTACTCGGATAAGTAAATACCAAATTATATTACCTTATCGGATGAATATGGTAAGGACCAAAAATCTTACCCAGTAAGAGCGAGACAAAGATCAAGAGTCTTACCTGATAAGTGAGGGTGACGACTCTTACCACGGTAAGCATTTACCGGGTAAATTGTTGCATACGATACCGTTTTGGTGGACTAAAATCTTATCTGGTAAGTAAATAATAGTGTTAAAATTTACCGGTAAGCGCTTACCGAATAAGTGTTTGGTAAATGGCCTGTTAAAATTTAAAAAATATTGGAAAAAAGTGGAAAATGTTTTATTTTTTATGTAATTTACTTTTTTTTATTAATCTGGATATCCAACTCACTATGCAAGCCGATTAATCTCAGGACGACCACCTGCTTTGCAGATAGCCTGGAGTCACCGCATTTGAACCTCCATGGTCACAAGAGGATTTTTGTTCCTCTTTAGATTTGAAATTAGGACCTCCAGGTACTTTTGATTTTTGAAACCAAACTCAAATCAATCAGACACCATCTTTATGTTTCATGTAATTTACTTTTATGTTGGGAATATGTGGATATTCTTTTCATAACTTTTATAAAATATTTGAAATTAGTGTCCATGTTTATCCAATAGTTTGTTGACATAATTAATTATTACTTCAATCAATTAATACATAGATATAGATGCATAATTATTACAAAGCTATATAAATGTTTACAAAATTATAAATTATATTTATAAAGTAGTTTTTATATGAGAAGATATATATGAAAATGACTGTATATAATATTGTTTTATATATAAAATGTTTAAGACTGTTTTTATATGTGTAAAAAATAATTATGAACTTTAAAAAAATATTTTTTATGTATAAATTATTGTTTATTGATGCATATTACTTAAACTTCAAGATCATAAATAAATTGTCCATAAGTACAATTTATTAAAGCTTCATGTTTGAATTTATTTTAACTAATTGTAGATAAACTTAATCAAATACAGGATAAACATCTCATTTT